GGCCGCGTCCCGTCCCCCACGCCGGGCTGGGATGGAGACGGGTCCCGTTCCCTCCCATTGGTGACCCTTTCGCTCCCAGACTCCGGTGCCGAGCGGCTGATTTCTCCCCTGCACAGACAATCAATGCCAGGGAGGTACCGATACCCCGAAATTATAAACCAGAGGGAACTGCCCCCAGCACATTCGCAGGAGGTTTCCGCAGCCCCTCCACATCCCGTCACCGAACAGGGAGAGGGGCAGAGGACCCCCGCCTGCCCCCAGACTGCCCAGAGGCAGCGAATGGGACTCCCCACAGCCTGGCTCCTGTCTCTGCTCTCCCTCAGCCGCAGCCTTTCGGCCGCTTTTACAGTAGTCGCTATCAAATGTCAATTATTGGGAGTGAGAAACAACAAACATTGTAATTCAGCGCAGTCACAACATCCTCTGAGTGTCTGAGACTGTCCGGGCCCGGTGACAAGGCGATTAGGACAACCTGCAACCCCTCCTGCCTTGGCCATATCGGCCCCATCAGTAAACAGGGATGGAGACAGGGTGGCTGTGGCCCTGGGACATGGGATGAAAGGCTCCCGGTGAATGGAAGCTGCCTGAAGCCTCTATCCCTCCCTCCCAAGGGGACCAACCTCACACACACCCCGAGGTAGGATTGCACAGATAAGGAGCTCCCACCTCCTTCCTATCTCTGCAAATGGACGAGGAGCCCTGAGTGCTGCTCACAAAGCCCCCAGTGCAGCATGGAGTGTAGACACCTGTCTGGGGCTCAGGGCTGGGCAAAGGGGGGCCTTCTGCCTCTTCCCAAGGAAGGTCTGCTTCGGGGGTACTCACCCCAGAGAGCGACAGGGACATGGGGTCTGTCACAACAAAGGGGACCAGAGTTGCCAGCCTGAAGCAGGGACACAGGGCAGCCCCACAGCTGTGCAATCCAGGAAGAAACAAAGGCTACTCCTCATTTGAAACCTCTCCAAGCTGGCTGCATGATGACTTCTGTCATCTTCCCTCATTGGAAGGACACACAGGCTTCAGCAGATGGTAGAGAGGCAGAGGTTAGACAGAAAATACATGGAAGGGGGCAGGAGAAAGCTGGGTTTAAACTCTGCCACTGTTGAATGATGTGGAGGGAGTGACACTTTGGTGCCTCAGTTTGCCTGATCTGTAAAATGGGAACAATGCTGCCCTCTCACTCCATGCCCCCTGTGTCACTGACAATTGAATTCTGCCACTGCAGAGCTTGGCCGAGATCAGACCACACAGGGAACCCTCAGAAGGCAGGACAAGTCCTGAGTTAACATGGCAGAAGGCATTAAACTGGAACCACTACATTCAGAAGCTGGCCCTGAGTAGGGCCCTTCATTAAGTGTTCAACCAAGATAGTCTGTAATGAAGCTTCAGGAAAAGCCACAGGAAAAAGTGACTCCTCACATCAGCGCAGCACCCTTCTCCACATATTCCCAGCATCCTCTCCCTTCCTCAGACCCCTCATTTTCTTCGAGCCTGTTTATTTTCCTCCCGTGGTATCTCAGAGCTACAGCTATCAGGGAATCCGAGTGTCCAGTGGGACTTTTCCTGCTCTGCAGGGGCTGTTCTGGGCACCAGGTCTGGCACCGATTTTCAGGACTGCCCTGTGCTCGTTCTCAGTGGGGATGAACGTACAGCTCCTGCCCACACTGCTGCTCACACGCTCCCCCCCATGCTTCCCTACTCCCGGGGGAATTGCATCACGAGCAGATGCACGGCAGGATAAGACATGAGGGCTCGGAACAGCAGCTGGAGCCTTGGAGCCAGTTCAGAAAGCGATTTAGGGAGAGGACACAAGCACAGCTGGCTGAGGCAGCCCAGCTCTGGCAGGGGCACCAGCAGCGACGGTTAAAGACCTTCCATAGCTGGATTAACGGGAAGTGCAAGAGAGATACAGTAGGAATTAACTCCCAGCACACTGATTTTGGCCAAGGGGGGCTCACTGTCCTCACAGAAACACATTGCTACTATTCCTGCTCTCCAGGTCTGCCTCACCTGTAGCTGCAGCTCAGCAGCAAGAACAGCCAACAGGGTCAGGTGGGGGTACAGGGTCTGCCCAGGATTTCCAAAGGCACCAGGGCTGTTGGCAAACACCACAGCACGGTGATGTGCTCTCCTGAGTCCAGTCCTCTCAACGGCTTAGAAAATCTGAATGCATCAGACCTGACACGTTCCTCTGTCTGAGCCTGAAGTGATTCACATCTCTAGAGCAACATGAAAAGGCTGTGCTTGGAAAAGGTTATTCCAGAGGAAACTGCAAGATACTGGCATTTCCCCAGGGAACCCGAAATCAGAGATCCTCTCAGTGTTTGGGGGCATGTTAAGGGGTGTAGAAAAGAGCTTTTAATAAAGATTTGCACTTGGATTTGATCTCACTCTTTCCTCAGATTTTTTGGGGATTACACAGCCTGGCACTGGCATTCATTTCTCTGTTTCAGCACAGCTTTTTTCAGAGAATTCAGTGCCCCAGCTCCACCTGAAGGTAACAGGGCAAGTGCAGCTCAGCACCACTTGTCTTCTTGAGACAAACTGCATATGGTAGGTTTGTACAAACTATTTGGAATTTACACAATTTGTACAGGAACAAGTTGTCAGCTGTAAGGGACTGATATCAAATCCCTTGCCATTACCAGTTTTGTAGGAACTGAAGTAATTGTTTTTCCCAAATAACACCCATGCAGTTCCTAAAGTGCTTTTGTGGCCAGAATTTTATTCCTTCAGTTCAAGGAGTTTTCACATCCAAAGTTATTCTCTGAAGTCAGAAAACGAGGAGATATGGTCCAGGTGGGAATTAGTGAAAAGTTTTAGTGTTCCTGAGAAGCCCAGCAGGAAAACAACAGATCAACAAGGCTCTCTCCCTAGTCCCCTGCTCCTAATTCATCTCACTGACATCAGTTTAGATCAGTATCAGCAGTAAGTGATTTCTTGTTAATGGGGATTATTAAGAAGAATCAACACCTTTAAAATGCCACTCCACATTGTCTCCAAAGCAAGAAAGGGATAGGCTTTCAGAGTGGAGTCCAATTTTTCATTCCTAGGTGGTTCCTTATTGCCTCCAAAGCAAACTTAATGCTACATTTTGATGCAGAAAGAGAGGGAAGTGGAGATTTCTCCCAACAAGAACATCAAGCACTGGCAGTACATTTGTGAAAGTTCATCAGTCAAGGTTTATGAAAGTTAATCAATCAAGGTTTAGCAAAGTGACATGGAATATGTTACTTGAAAATCTCTACCTGCCTCCTACAGTCATTTTAAACTCTGCCACTCCAGAGTTTCGTTCAATAAGAAAGCCCCACTAAGCACAAAGATCATCCTGAGCAGTGCATTAGCCACAGATCTTTCCTACTGTAGTACAGCAGGGACTTGCCCCAGACTGGCTAGAACTGCTGGGCTAAGATGAGTAAAAATAGGTGATTTTATCTGCCTTTGCATAAACGAGTTCAAATCAGATACAAGGCATGCCAGTGGAGTCTGGATGACTAGGCTAAGACAGAAAATAAACTGTTTCCCAGAGACTGAGCAAGAGGAAAAACCAACAGAAGCCCAAGGAGAGAGATGAACCTTCAGAAAAGCGAAGCAGGACATTTTTAAACCAGCTCTGTGTGCAAGCAGTTGGTGCACTGACTGCACTGAGACATGTCTGTTAAGTCATCCCTGCTTAAAATAACATTTTTTTGGTGTCAACAAACAATCACGGTCAAATGGCCAAACCACAGGTCTGTAAATCAGGAGACTGGGGGCTTTTCCCAACTCCATTGGAGAGAGGCATCATATTTGCAACAGGCTCAGCACGGACAGACCCTCAAGTCCTGCCCAGCTGTGCAAATGCAGGGGTTCCCCAACAGAGCTTTCAGACAGCACTAGATACCTGCTCAGTTTGATGTGCTGGAAAAATAAGTTGTCCAAGAGAAAAACTTGTAAGTGGGAAGAATCTTAGGGGCCAAAATAATTTTATTTCTTGGGGTTGGTTAAAATTAACTGGTCTTGGGGAGACATCCTGGAGCTAAATTACTGTTTGTGGAGATGGGTAGGCTGAAGGCATGAATGACACTACTGTACAGTGGGCAAGGTCAG